GATGGATGGATGGATGGATCAGTTTGCATTTCTGCCTTCTGTGTTTTAGCCAGTTGAGTTGCCGGACGGCAGCATCATGATCAACGTGAGGAACCAGAACAACTACCACTGCCGCTGCCGCATCGTGGTCCGCAGCCTGGACGGAGGCCTGACCCTCCCCGTGGACGAGCTGTTTTTCGACACCAATTTGGTGGATCCGACCGTGGCAGCCGGAGCGCTGCAGAAARACGGCGTGCTCTACTTCATCAACCCCGCCAACGAGCAACACAGTAGGGAGCGTTCTAAACTTTGTGAAAAGCAGCAGGGATTACGGCTGTGATTGACTTGTTTTAACCGCCTTTTCAGGAGTGAACCTGACGCTGCGATGGTCGCTGACTAAYGGGAAGTCTTGGGAAAACAAAGCCGTTCAGATATGGGGAGGGCCGAGCGGTTACTCCTGCATCACGTCGTTGGACAGCGGCTCCGTCGATGATGAAAAATACATTTAYGCCATCTATGAAAAGGGGAAAAATAACTACTGGGAGACCATCTCGTTCGTCAAGATTAACCTTTACAGTGGACGGTAGAGCTACCAGTCAGGTAGGAGTCAACCGCTACGTTTGTAATCAAATTTATGCTTTGGTTTTTACATTGTGTTTGTTTTTCAGATTYAAAGGGAAAGGAGAATTACTCTCAGGAATAAAGCAACGCAGAATAAAAAAAAACAAATGAGACTCATCACTGTGAACTTCCATTTGTTTGTGTTTTTCTCTTCTCTTTTTCTGTTCCCACAGCTGATTAGACTTGGTGTTTAATTTATATTTTACCAAACATTGCATAGTTTCATAGCTCTGTTAGGCTTTAAAAGCCCAAACATGACCAAGGAGGAAAAATAAATCAGAGGATTTTTTTTAAAAAGATCTGTTTGGTGATCTTTGGATTTGTTGTATGTTTGTTGAATGTTGGTTATTATATTACAAGGGAATGGTTTTAATAAACCAGAGTTCTGTAACATGTTCTGTTTTTATTATGTTTCTGATATAAGTTTATGAATTATGATCAACCACTAAGAATGTATTATTTCTTTTGTCTGTGCTTTTCAAATGTTTAAAAATTGTTTTTCAAATAAATAAAAAAATCTACATTCTAATTTATCAGAAATACAGACTTGAACAATATTTTTGTACACGCAGCAGACTCAGATAGC